CCAACAGTCAGAGTTCTTTGACTGACAGGATCCATAGCAGGCTATATGATGTAGTGATGGATACTGATGGTTATGGGCTATCTATTTAAACTATGAGTGGCTTTCCTGTCTAGCTGCTCATAGTCCCTTGATATTGTTTTCAAGTTCCTTCTTGTACCCTTTGTCCCAACATGAAAGAGGAGAAAGGGATAATCTGTGGGCTTGATTATTTTGGGAAGCCTCTCTGTCATATCTTTTATTTTTGCATATAAAAATTTAAAAGATCTACATTTCTGCCAGGTTTTAAACCAACAACCTACTATTTTGAAGGCAAGAATTCTACTTATTGTAGTATTAGAATAGAATAGAATAGATTAGAATAGAATAGAATAGAATAGAATAGAATAGAATAGAATAGAATAGAATAATAACTTTATTGTCACTTTGAATGTACACTAATCGGCATACTTTGAAATGAAATTTTATTACGTACAGCTCTCAAAAGGTCACCACCTCCGATATACACCACATAAATATGACAAAAATAAATAAATACAGAATTATGCATATTCCCACATATATTATATGACATAGAGAAACGACAGTCTAGTTCGGGCTATGTATACATGTGCATGGTGAGAAGAATGAATCTTGTGAGTTTACCAGACGGATGGCATAGGGAACAAAGCTATTACAGAATTGGGTAGTCCTGCTAGAAATACTTCAAAACCTCCTCCCAGAGGGAAGCAACAGAAACAGACCGTAAAGTGGATGTGTGGGGTTTCTAACAATGCTTTGAACTCTAAGCACATAGCGCTTATAAGCAGCATCCTGAATACCAGGAAGCGATTATATTACAGCATTGATGGTAAAAGGAAGTTTTAAAAGACTGTCACAGATTATAGTAAACTTTGACTTCCTCTTCAAAGTAGCAAAGGAACTGCTGAGTGAATTTGCAACAAGTATGCTACCTGAGATGAATAAGAGCATTCAGAATGACATAACATGGAAAAATGAGCTTTTGAAGCAGAGCAGAAAAATATGTCATCTGTTTCAGCCCTCCAGAAATGAACGCCTGGCTCTTCTGGTGACAAAGCAATGGGACATTTTGGACAACCCCTTAAGTCTTAAATTGAGAGATTGAAGGAGTTGAGAATGTTTAGCCTTGGAAAAAAAGACTGAAAGAAGACACCAAAGCATTCTTGAAAGGATGTTACCTAGAAGATGATTAAAATCTATTCTGTATTGTTTCAGAGAATAACCCACTTTGTACATGATTTAATAGCTGACAAGAAGGCAAATTAGTTTTAAAACACAGGAAGACAAATTTCATTTGCTGGAAAAAGAACACACCTCAGTAATAAAAGCTGTGAAAAAATAATGAGTTCCTCTTCACTGAATGTATTCAAGGCTAGAAAGATATTTAGTCAGGGATACTTTAATGTGATTCCTTTACTGAGATGGGGATTAGACCAGATGGCC